CTTTAACTATTATGTTAACCAAAGAAATAAATCGGTCGAGAAATATGACGGAAAGCTTTATCGGTTAAAAGAAACTTAGAATATAAACTAATCGATGACTTCCACGATGAATTTCTAGCAATTAGAATAAATACAACTCAAGGAGACGTAATCATTGTTACTACTTATCTGCTACCGAGACAACCCTATTTACCTATAGAAGACCTATTAAAATTGGTTAACAATAGTCACCCTATGTACAGTACATCTTAGGAGACTTTAACGCCAGACACAGGATTTTCGACAATACAAATAATAACGCCGTGGGAAACGCCCTTAATCAATTAATAAACCTAGGGAAAATCAATCATCTTGGTCCTAACTTTCCAAACTGAAGAAATCACAATACAAAATCGACACCAGACAAAATTTTTACCAACAACAAAGCCTTTTTCAATTACCATATAAAACAAGGACCTCTCACAGGCAGTGACCATCTGCCAATTATTCTAACACTGTAAACAAGCCCCATACAGATACCAATAAAAAAAGAGACTAAAAATGAGCAAAACAGACTGGGACAGCTACAAAGAAGACTTGGGTAATCACCATTCGATTAATATACAAGGGAAAGCAACAAAAGACATGGACCCTGAAATTGACAGACTGCACTCACTCACCAATAAAAACATCTATAACCAAACACACTCCTACTTCACACTTTAGATCATTACCCAACAACAGACTAACAGAAGAAGTTAAACTAATCCAAACCCATTACAATGAAATACACAGGTCTGTGGAAGGACACGGCAGTAACAGATGGCTTTAATACGACGCAGACAGCACTACAGGTAAAAGTAAGAGACGCATATAAGGAAGCAAACAACAAAAAATGGTATGATATAATGGCGGCCGACACGACTAAAGACAAAAACATTTTGGACTTCCATAAACAAGATGATGGGGCATAACAAGCAAAAAACACCATACATTAAAGACTATATAGGAACAAAACTGTACGAGGAAAATGAACAAGAGTCAGCATTCAAATGAGAATGGGTAAAAGTTTTTAAAATATCAGATGAGGAAAATTAAGATTTTGATAGTGAACACGAAGAAAGGATAGAAGATGAAATGGGAAGACACATGCATAGAGTCACCCCAAAGCAATATATAGACTATAAATTACTACCTAGTAATCAAATAATAACTATAGAGGAAATGATGCACTGTCTTTACTGGTATTACACAAAATATAATCATAAATCTACCGGAAAACATCTTAAAAACCTTATTGAACATCTATAACGCATGCTTAATAACCGGTGTTACGAGTTGGGGATTAAGAATATAGTTAAAAGTCTACCTAGATCCCAACAGGCAACAACAATAAAAAAACAAAGACAATCGGACTATAAAAGGGTAGACAAAGGATGCGAGTTTTTGTTGTGTATAATAAAGTACCATAAATTCCTTAACAAAATATTCAGCTTTCTATAATTTACCCTTAACCAAACTTAACCTAAAAATACGCAACATTGGCTTCACATATTCTAAATCCCCAACTCGTAACAATATAGACTCAGAAATGGACAGACTGCACTCGGCAATAAAAACATCTATAACCAAACACCTCCTACTTCACACTTTAGAACATTACCCAACAACAGACTACCAGAAGAAGTTAAATTAATCCAGACCCATTACAATGAAATAAACAGGTATATGGAAAGACGGCAGTAACAGATGGCTATATACGACACAGACAGCACTACAGATAAAATTAAGAGACGCATGTAAGAAGCAAACGATAAAAATGGAATGATATTATAATGGCGGCTGACATGACTAAAGACACAAAAACATTTTTGGACTTCCATAAACAATATGATGGGGCACAACAAGCAAAAAACACCATACATTAAAGACCAAAATGGAACAAAACTGCACGAGGAAAATGAACAAGAGTCAGCATTCAAAAGGAATGGGTAAAAGTTTAAATATCAGATGAGGAAAATGAAGATTTTGATAGTGAACACGAAGAAAGGATAGAAGAAGAAATGGGAAGACATATACATAGAATCACCAAGCAATATATAGACTATAACTTATTACCTAATAATCAAATAATAACCATTGGGAGAAATGATGCACTGTCTGAGGAAGTTTAAGGAAAAGCCCCGGGCTCACAGGTATTACACGAAATATGATCATGAATCTACCTGAAAACATTTTAAAAACACTATTAAACATTTATAACGCATGCTTAATAACCGGTTTCTTTCCAGACAAACTAAAATATGCTAAAATGATATTCATTCCCAAGGAGGGTAAAGACAATAAGGAAATATTAAACTACAGGCCAATATCTTTATTAGAAATTACCGAAACTATTGGAAACAATTTTAAATTCAAGACTTATAGCCTTTTTAACACAACATGGGAAAACTAACAATAGACAACATGGATTTATGCCCAATAGAAATACCCTAACTGCAATAGCTATAATAACGGAAATAATTGCAATAGAAAAAGCAAGGGTAACCAGATCAATATAATTTTAAGGATGTTTCTAAGGCTTTTGATAAAGTTTGGCATTTAGGCTTAAAATATAAAATATTAAAACTGGGACTTAACGAATACTTGCTAAGAATATTGTAACTATTTAGATGATAGGAGAGCACAAATTCAAATTGGAAACTTTATGGGAACTATGTTTAATCTTGAGAGTGGAGTACCTCAAGGAGGATGCCTTTCTCCAACACTATATACAATTTATACTTCAGACACACCTCAACCTACCCCTTTAGCGAATATGTAATGTTTGCTGATGATATTACTCAAATAGTATCATAACCAGGAAAATCAACCCAATTTATGGCACTTTACACGGTAAGAGCGATAAAAAACATAAATGATTTTGAGAAAAATGGAAAATCAGGACAAATAAGAACAAATTCAAGATAATACCAATAGCCAAGATTAAAACAGTCCAGTAATAGTCGACCAGAACTATACCCATACGACACTGAAGGCAGGATGCTTGGACTAAAGCTAACAAAAGAGGATATATAACATACTTAAAAGATAAAGAACGACAGGCAAGAATAAGAGTATCAAAAATAAAACGCTTTAAGAACCTTAGCATTAATAACAAAAAGAAAGATTTATATTCCCCTTGTCAAATCAATTATGGACTACCCACCATCCCATTGAACACCCCCGATCAGTGGATGGATGGTAACAGTACAAAAATATGGCCCCTAGATTTATATATAACATAAATATACAGACACATCAGTAATGAACAGCTACACAAGAAACAAACCTCTTGGCAATCAATGTAGATATACACAACAAAGCTGCAAATATTTGGAAAAAAAAGTGACTGAACTTAACACAGAAACATATCAAAACTGGATAAATAATATAGACAACGAAGAATTCAGGAAACACAGTTGGTTTAAATCAGCCAGGAAGAAATATTGAACCATCTCCTGCCCCCAATATACATATAAAGCCTTAATAGAGAAGATAAAAGATAAGAGAGTGACCTACAGCTCATTAAGAACCTGGCAGGCCTCTCCATACAGTATACCTTTAGACTAACATAACTAATATTTAACAATTAACATTTAACATTGAACTAACATCTTAGCAAAAAAAAAAAAAAAAAAAAAAAAATGTGATTACCCTCCCAGCTACACAAGGACCTGGAGCCGGGCTCACTAACTCCAAAAAAAAAAAAAAATAATAATAATAATAATAATAATAATGTGATTGCCACTCCCAGCTACATCCCAGCCAGGAAGAAGTGAATTGAACCACCTCCTGCCCCAATATACATTCACACATAAAACATTAATAGAGGAATAAAGATGAGAGTGACCTACCAGCTCCACTAAGAACCTGGCAGGCCTCTCCATACAGTGTGCCTTTAGACTAACACAACTAACACTTAACTAACACCAAAAAAAAAAAAAAAAAAAAAAAAAGTGACTACCCTCCCAGTTACTGAGGACCTGGGGCGAGAGCTCACTAACTCCAGCAATAATAAAAATAATAATAATAAGCAGCATTATATAAATAAGCCAATATTAATACAAAGGTCTGACGGCCCAAGGGAGCAGAACAAAGATAAAACACACCAATAAGAAGATAGAAGCGATCTGGTTGAGGCCCAGATTCTTCTACTCCTGCTGTATTTCAGTTTCACCACTTTTCCCTCAACCCCTAATAATCTTCTTTCACCTCTTAACTAAAAGACTTCATTACTGCGTACTCGAGATTCACTCTGGTCTCATCTTGAACAAGACAACACCTCCTCCTCCGCCAGCACCTGGCAGCCCTCGCTTCTCCTTGCCTGCCTGGCAGTCCTCGCTCCGCCAGCGAGCATGGCAACCCACCAACTGTCCTTCTCCTGAGCTTCACCACCAACCAGCTCTCACTCTGGCCATTCTCTTGAACAAAGCAACACCTCCTCCAGCAAGCTCCAGCTCAGCATTCCATTCAACCAGGAGGCCAGCAACGAGCCAGCATCTTCTCTAACAGAAGCTCCTGCATCTCCTTCAACACGCTACTCACCGAACGTCTCTACTGAGCAGCTCCTCACCACACACCTCCAACAGACTGTATCATATAACACTATTATACAAAAACCACCTTAGTGTTTCCATCCATCCTGATTGCTAGACAACATTATACCACGAACTCCTACACCCTCCTCGTTTTATATATATATATATATATATATATATATATATATATATATATATATATATATATATATATTATTTATATATATATATATATATATATATATATATATATATATATATATATATATATATATATATATATATATATATATATATATATATATATATATATATATATATATATATATATATATATATATATATATATATATATATATATATATATATAAAAAATAAAGGATTTTTTTAATTTATTATTTATTTATTTCAATTTTCGATTCATTTATTTTCGTATTTCAGTATAGTAGGGGTACTACGTAAATACAGGCTGTAAACGAGACCTAGTATCGTCTGTCACGGTCAGGATATCATATTAACATTTATGTAACAGCGTTCTCTAAAAGTTTTAACGCATTTCCATGCAAAACACACTGTAATTCAGGAGAACAGCGCTGAAACAGCTGACCAGGGTCCAGTCTACACTTCAGGTTGTTGTAGGAACACAGGTAACTTTCTCCAAGCAATACAACTGTTGATTTGATTTAACTTTATTAAGTAAGGTAAATGTTTTCGGTGTGTTTACTTAAATCTGACATTCATATCTTGTGGAAATTAGCGGTTTTGCCCAAAAATGAAAATTTCCATTTTTAATTAACAGAGAATTTGCACAAAAATGGAAGTAATATTTGAGAAAAACAGCAAAAATACACACAAAGTAAACCTATTCTCATACCAAAGGAAAGGAGGAAAACACTGAGTGAGGAGTATAACCTCAGGTAAACCTGCGGACAGCCAGTGGACGAATATTAACCTTAAGTAAATTTTCAACATCACAGTTATACCGGTCCGACTAATTACCCAAATGTACCCAAATGTAGCCGCAATTAAGTCAAATAATGGTCCTACATGAATAAATCGGACTGCCAATCACTTCTCGACTTGTATTTGGTGTCACAAAGTAAAAAAATAGGAAAACTTACTTTAATCTGAGTTAATAGATCGCGTGTATGTACCGAGGGAGTAATTACAAATGTAGTCGCAATTAATCAAATGATGGTCCTACAAGCGTAAATCGGCTGTGAATCACTTCGATTATTATTTTGTTTCATAAAGTCACAAAAAATTGGTAAACTTAATTTAATCTGAGTTGTGTTAGGTTAGGTGCGGTACATGCATGATCTATTATAGATTAAATTAAGTTTACCAAACTTTTTGACTTAAATGTCATCAAATATTATCGGGTTAGGTTAGGTTAGTACATGCACTTTGCTCTATTATCTTAGATTAAATTAAGTTTACCAATTTTGTGACTTATTGACACCAAATACCAGTCGAGAATGATTGGCAGTCCGATTTATTCTTGTAGGACCATCATTTGACTTCATTAGGCTACATTTGGGTACATTTGGAGTAATTACTCGTTCCTCGGTACATGCACGCCATCTATAAACTCAGATTAAATTACGTTTTGCAATATTTTTTACTTTGTGACACCAAATACTAGTCGAGAAGTGATTGGCAGTCCGATTTATTCATGTAGGACCATTATTTGACTTAATTGCGGCTACATTTGGGTAATTAGTCGGACCCCAGTTATACGCATATAAACATTTATGGAGGCTACATCATAAAATGTTGTGGTATTATTGCATTTAAACATTCCAGCTTACTACCGCTAATTTATTATCATATTCTAATAAAACGTCTAATTATAAGATCATTTTCATCTATTACATTACGCGAACTGTATATTAGCGGGAGATAGGAAATCCAAAATTTTCTCTATTTTTTTTATCTATATTCTTCCGCCATTTGCGGGCACTTTACCTTTCACACTGGTGTCTCTCGTGTCTCCTTCATTAATCATCACGCGCATGCGTTCCCATACACGTCACGCGACCAATCAAAAGCCTTTTTTTTTTGCAACCAATTAAAATGATTTTGGGTTTAATTCTCGGTATTTTTGGGTCAATCAAAATCGATCTTTCTTTTGGGTCTCTCATATTTCGAAATTCAAGTTCAGTTCTGACCATTGGAGATGCGATGGGTGTCGCTTACATTATATGGAGCTGATTCAAGGTTTTTGGGAAAAAACGAAGAAACTGCATTTTTTTCGATCGTATGGTGTTCTTCCAACCTCAGTGAAGTGTACTAGAGCAAGACTGAATGTAAATATCGCAAAGACCAACATATGTGGCGTTATGTAAGAATCTCAGAATCCAACTTCGAACAAGAACCTGGTCTCCAGGCCAACTAAGGTAAGAAATAGGTGATTCCATCATATGGTGAGAGTCAGTTAGGTTAGGTTAGGTGTGTTTTGGTGTATTTTTTATTCACGTAGCAATTAATTATTGAAAAAACGTCTCGAAAAAATTCGATAAAAAAAACGGCCAATTTCTGGCGGAAATGAAGGTCATATTCGGTGGAAACACACACAAATACACTAGAAAAATATATTTTTAACTTTCTAACAGATGGGGAGGTGGAAGTGCAAATTTACCAATGTTGTTAACATATAGTACAGTACATAGTTTAGCAGGACTGCTAGCAGTGAGGTGAATAGTTTCAGCCCCAACTACTGTTCAACCGTAATTTTTTTACTTTTATTTCTGTCGCAAATGAGTGGTTACTGAGTTATCACCCCACCACCTCCAATATTCTTGGGGGATTCATGGTAATCCTGATTTTTGGGGATAAAATTAACATTTCGATCATGCACCTATTAGGAAGTAGGCCAGAATCGATCAAAACACACCAAAATCCAGTAATTATTTACGACTTCACAGCTGCTGATTTTTCGAAAACTGTTTTATAGTGGATACTGCTGTAGTTATGGCAAATATGTTAAAAAGAGTTTTTTTAAAAGTTTAGGTTAACCTAACCTAACCTAGCATAACTTAACACCTGCTGTGAACTTACTGTTACAGTGGGGTATGCTATATGACGGATCCTACTACGAATATTCCTATATGACGGTTTTACCTGTAAAATTGATAATGCTATAACGAACATAACTCCTACAACGAACATTATAATTTTTTTTTTTTTTTAATTTGTTTCTGTATTACAAGTACTAATGATATTCTTTATTTCAGGGTTTAGATGCATATTTATGCACTTTTTTCCAATTTTTACAATTTAATATTATATTTTTCAGTGCTTGTATTTGGGGGCCTGGAACGGATTAATCCTATAACGATCAATGCTATAACGAACAAGGTTCTAGAACCAATTAGATTCGTTATAGCATACTCACTGTACTGTGAAGTCCTCCATATTAGCCCAAAACTATTGGAAAACCATAATTTTAACCTAACCTAAATTAATGTAAACATAACCTAAACTTAAAATCCTAAAAATTTTTGCATGACTGAAACGATGGTAAAACTGCAGTTTCGGAAAATACTCAGGAGTAGTTGAGTAATGTGTTTTTCCGATACTTTACGCAATTTTATAAAACTTTTCTTCTATGATGACCTAAAATTACTTAACATACCCTCCTAACTGGGGGGGGCTCCGCCTCCCTGGATCCCCAAGTATATTTAAGTAATTTGCGAGGGAAACGTCATAGAAGAAAAGTGTCATAAAATTCTCTAAACCTTCGGAAAATCACATTGCTCAACTCGCATTCCAGATTGTCCGAAGCTGTAGTTATACTGAAATGATAATAATACCTTTTTGGGTGGGGAGAGCAAAAATGGAAGCTGATAAGCACCTAATTTAACCTAGCTATGCTGGTAAATTTGCGGTTTCAGCCTTGACTACTGTTCGACCATTATATTATAAAATTCTACCTTTGGTTTGTTTAATAATTATCCTGACAGTGATAAAGCCAAAAACAGATCCACCAATCACAATCACCTTCACATACAGCCTTCCTCTACCAAGTACAGTATTGTCAGGTAAAATCATGAGCCTGAGACCCAGGGTGGGGTCGATGCATCTTTGGCTCACTGTACCAATGAAAGCAATTTTCTTGAAGCGGCATAGTGTAATTTTAAATTTTTTATGACTGAGAGTATGCTCGTACTGAGCAGCAGTTGCTGCACTGAAACAAGCACTGACACAGCATATTTCTTTGCTGAATATTTACTGTAAATAATTAATTTCTTTGCAAAACACATAGGCATGTCATTTTATTTCCATATGATAATTTATTTTTCTGTGTTTTACCCCACAATTTCCCTCATCCTTCATTCCCTACCCACAACAGACTAATATTTAGACTAATATGCAACTGGTGACCGTCAGCGGTTCGGTAATTATGAGGGTCATGGCTGTCAGCGATTCGTTAAATATGAGGGCCATTTTAGACAGTTTTGTTTGCTGATTACTTTGTTCTATTAATTTTCTTGTGTAATTCCTTAATTTTCTAGATATAGGCGAGTTGAGTTTCAGGTTAGGTTAGGTTTCATTAGGTTGGCACATGATATCAGCCATTTTTATATTTTCTCCGATATAATACAGTATCCCCTAATAAAATCAGTGAAAACCGGGTATTTTTAAATCCATTTTCAATGTTTAATATGCCAGGTGTCCGGAAGGGGTGGAGCCCCATGGCTAGGAAGTTAGTTTGGTTTCTTTGGTGAGGTTGGTGAGGTCTTCTCGCAACACTTCTTCCGCTAGTTTTTCTTATCAACAATGGTTATGTTATGTTTAATTTCGAAATACCACCTTTTTTTAACATATTTGCTAAAATTATGAGTGATCACTATAAAACAGAAATTGTGGCATTTTTATTTTTAATCATAGATTGAGAAAACTTAAAAATAAAAATGAGTTCTTATAATATAAAGTTGCCATACCGTTTTTATTACTTACAGTACAGTACTATCATCTAAAGAACATCTGTGGAAAAAAATTAACAAATTGTTGCTACTTCTGGTGTTACCCATCTGCTCCACTATTACCTGATTTGTTTAAAGGGAGAGCTAACAAAAAAAAAAATTCTATAGCATTTCCATTGGAAATTTTAGATTTTAGATTTAGAAATGCATTTTGATCACATAAAATGGGCAGGGCTTTGAAGTAGAGAGTGGTATACAGTACTGTACTGCATATACACATGCAAAAAGCTGACAAAACCAAACCTAATAAGAACATAAGAATGGAGGAAACTGCAGCGGGCCTATTGGCCCATACTGGGCAGTCCCATTTACACCCAACCCCTATTGCTCATATATGCATCCAACATATGTTTGATTGAAGCTATCCGTACAATATTAGAGTTAATGATGATATTTGGTAGCTTGTTCCATTCATCCCTCTCTGTTTCCAAACCAGTGTTTACTATTTGGCGCCTAAATCTAAATTTGTCTAATTTTTAAACCATTGTTACAAAGTTTTGCTCCTGGTTGGATAGTTTGAGTACCTTTATAATGTCCCCTTTGTTTAGCTGACTTCCATTTATACACCTCTCTCATGTAGCCCCTCGCTCTCTCGTCTCGA